GCATGTTTGATCACAAAATGATCCATTTTAAACAACCCATGAGAGATTACCCCAAAAATGTAACTCGGGCGAGTCTTCGGATCTGGGAAAACGTGTTCGTTCACTTGTTCCTGGACCCCTAGGCCATTATGTACGAAGACAATTGTAGAATACGGGGTGAGACGATGTTTAACAGATTCTAACACCCACCGCACCCTTGTAGCCTTCGAAGCGACGATCAGGTTGTCAATAATTTCCTCGTTTGCGTCTATGGGATCTCGCTCAACATACCCGCCAGCTTTCTTCTGTTCCTGGGCTAGCTTTGAATCCTGCGGCACGTAATACCAAATACCATCTCTTTTAACATTGATATCGAAGCCCCATCTATGCTCTGCGAGTCCATTTCGTACCAATGTTATCCGTTGCCTATTCTTTCCCCACCGTTCCAGTGTCTTGGAATTGTGCAGTAAGAGGGTTATTGGCAGGTGTTTAGTATCACCAGCTAAAGAGTGGGCCAGGAATCCTCCAATATTTCCCACACCTATAATGTGTATTCGTGACGGTATTCTCTGTTCCTGAAGCGGGCGCTGAGGCTTGGCGGAATCGTCGTGGGACTGCTTGAGTGTGGTATGAAAGAGCCGGAAGGAAACTGAGCGCATCCGGATGGCATCAGGGCATCTTGCGAAGAGCCAGTTGGTGGTGAGGCCGACCCGCATGTTGACTGCTGGTATGCCTGAAATATTTAGCTTGCACCAGGCGTGGAGTGTTTGGTGGTCGATCGGTCCGGTGATTCTTTGTCATAGCTCACGCTGGAGGCTGCATACCGATTCGATTGCAATAGATAGTGTTATTGTAGATTAGATCTCCCAAAGGATGTTTCGAGACCTTTATGCCCAGAGTATGCGGTCTCGAAAACTGCAATTGGCCATGTTATTAAGGGTGACGTCGGAGGAAATATACAACAACACTTCTTGAATTCAGCGCAATTTAGGACTTTCGCGTAGCTCCATCAATTATTATATGTGTTAAGACATTGCATATTATTGAATGGGGATAGAAATATTTGCTGGCATCGTCATATATCTACTCCAGTATTGCTAAAAGTCGGCAGTTAGTCAACCCTGACATAATCCATTGTTTTTGTGCCCAAACTTTTCTGGAACAGAAAATTATCATCTCCACAAGCCCACACGGAAGTTGGCAACTCGGTGACTATGGAGACTATAAACTTGACACCGTTAATAGAGCAGCTGGAGGACAATATCGATGATCTTGAGGATGTCCTCGAGCCTCTCCTGGGCCAGCCTCTGTCTGCAACTACGCAGAAAATGCCCGTGATGGACAAGGCAAAGCTTCATGTTCTGATCACCTATGCTATTGAATCCTTGATTTTCTGTACGATATCTCCCTTAACCTGGCTCTACGCTCACCTTCTACCCCATGTGCTCCTATACTAATGGGTTTCTAGCTTATTTACGCCTCCAGGGCGTAAATGCGAAAGAACACCCAGTGTTTAAAGAATTGACCCGAGTTAAGCAGTACTTCGAGAAGATCAAAACCGTAGAGACCGTTCCTGAGAAACGAACTACGGCTGTCGACAAGGAAGCCGCTGGACGATTTATAAAACATGGACTGGTCAGATCCCCTATCTCCTTATATGATCACTATCTAACAATTCCTTTTAATGATCCTTCTTCGCACCACAGGCTGGAAACGACAAATATGATCTGGAGCGGGCAGAAAGAGAGGCAAAGGAAAAAGCCATGGCGCTATTGAAAGCTGCGAAGCTTGCTCGTCAACAAGCATCTAAATCCCAGCCCCAATCCCAAACTCAAAGCATAACTCCTAAGGAGCAACAAGCGCCGACGGAAGTTGATTCTGAATTGAGGAATACAGGAAGCAAAGGTGGTCAACATCTAAAAGTGATGCCGTCCTTGGGCCGTTCGCCGAAGGGTAAAAAGGACAAGGGAAAGAAGAAAGTTCAGGCGCAGAAGCCTCAGGCGCAGAAGGCTCAAAGGCAGAAAGCTCAGGCGCACAAGGCTCAAACGCAGAAAGCTCAGGCGCGGAAGGAGCAAAGGCAAGCGAGAAGGAAGCATAAACAAGCTGTCAGGAAAGCTAACAACCAAAGTAATGGTTGATTTTGATTTGCGAGCCGGTTTGATGCTGGAAGACCCCGTTCATTTGAGGGACCAATAGTGGCGTCTGACGCTCGCGATTCTTTGGGTGGGTTGCGCCATTATATGTACGCGTAAATTCCGATCGCAACTTGGTGTTTGTCCTCTTGGATTGGAATGTGCGCATGAGCCGGAGCTTATCCCACCCTCCAAGGGAACGTGTGTCAGCTAGATGGTGATTTGGTTGGTAGCCATCCATGTCTTTGCTCAACAGAATGTTCTAGCATCACCAGTCTAAGTGTATTTCGCCGAAATGTCTCTTCCAACAGAACGCGTGGGGATGACTTGGGCCTGGAGCTGGGATATTGAGGCATGGCATCGGGTGTACTGTTAAGAAGCTAGATACTGGAAAAAAAGAAAAAAAATTCCCTCTAAAGTCTGCGCCTTCATATCATACAGTAACTCTTCCTTCCGTAGGCATCGTAGAATGGCGTATACCTCGGCCGGCCTTTCCGCCGTTGAGCCAATCGGAGCCCGTTTACTCCGCACCGGTCCGACTATTCTCCCTGACTTTGAGCCTCAGCAAATTTAAACACTCTCTGTTAGAAGAAACCTCAATCATTTCCGCTCCAATTCCAACACTCGCCCACCATAGCTTCATAGACCATTGATACTTTCTATAACCCTACCCCCGCATATAAAAACAAGTGATCCGTCTTTTGCACATCACGAAAATGGCTCGTCAACGCCGTGGCGCTGCTCCTCCTGCCCGTAGCGCTCCTTCGAGACCAGGTGCTGCTCCCCCCCGACCCGCTCCCGCCCAACAACAACGCTCTGCTACCACAGCTGCCCATCCCCCAGCTACCACAAATGCCGCTCAACCACCAGCCGCTCAAGCTGCCCCTGTGCAGCAGAGCTCTGGGCCGGGCTTATTCGGCCAGATGGCCTCCACCGCTGCGTAAGCACACTCACTCTGATGACCCGCCCCGGTGAGATGGAAGAAAAAAGCAGGACAAGAAAGTCAGAACTAACATCTTATTGCGAAATTCAGTGGTGTCGCCGTCGGATCTTCTATCGGACATGCCATCGGCGGTTTTTTCGGCGGTGGCTCGAGCGCCCCAGCTGAGGCTCAACAAGCACCTCCACCCGCCGCCGCTCAGTCGATGGATAGCGGACTCTATCAGAGCAACAGCTCCTCTAGCGGCTGGGCTGAGACGCCTGCGTGCGAGACTGATGTGCGTGCGTTCAGAAAGTGCATGGATGATAACCAGGGTAATATGTCAATTTGCGGGTGGTATTTGGATCAGCTGGTATGATATTCAAAGCTTTCATATTTTTAATTCTTTGGCGACGAGTTGCAGACGCTAACTATTTGTGTAGAAAGCTTGCCAACAGGCTGCTAAGCAGTATTAAAAGAAACCGGCTCTCTACTCCCTACGGTTTCACGTTCGCCACTTACTCGAAACGATGGTGGATCTAATGGAATCGTGATCAACATCATTTTCTATATCGTACATACATACAATCGACCAGGATTCGCTGAACCCGGTCCAGGTGATTTCGATTCGGTTCTGTTTTGTTTTTACATTTTGTATTTATATACATACACACGTAGTGCGTCGAGAAAGCTGCAAAATACGCTGTACCCTTCGGGAGAATGGAAGCACGATCATATAGAAATAAAAAGCAAGCAAGAGAAAAGAGACAAATCCTATTTCCAACGACAACAACAATCCCCTGTTATCAATATACTAAAGTCGTGAGAATACTGAGAGTGTTCATTTTTCGGTGAAAGAGTGCTAGCGAATCAGAAAAAAAAAAAAAAAAAAAAAAAAAAAAAAAAAAAAAAGCAATGCTTCCGAACTCCAATTAAAAAATCAGAAAAGATGCAGTTTGACGATTGGGCTTCCATGACTAGGTCAATCGCTCCATATTTACTCGTTTTCTTGATCCGTACGGGGCTCGAAATTTAACTAAAGATTATAACATCCTAGATTAGTAAAATCAGGTAGAAGAACCAGTCAAAGCTTTCTTCAAACATATCTGTAAGAAAGGGAGCCGCTGATTTGGAAAGAAACGACCTGGGAAAAGATAGATTTATACCTGATTCCCGTTATAAAATTGTCGGCCTTCTCCATCACCATCATCACCGTCATGGAGAGTTCTCACATTCGATCTGCCATTCCTACCTCCCCGAAAATTAGCTCTACTAGGCCCCTCTGCTGCGGATGGTGGCTCAGCCGCTGCTGGCCCGGTATTTGCAGCTGGATGCTGAGATATCCCTAGGATTGATCCTATGGCCCCTGCTATGGCACCAACGGTTCCAGTAACAAGGTCATAACCAGCATATAGCCCTCTAACGGGAAGGGAGGCTTCCGCCGAGGCATACGCTTCTGTGTATGTGCGCACTGGAACCATTACGAGATTTGCAGTGGGGCCTAGCCCAAGTTCCTCAAGCGTTTGGTTTTCTTCTGCGACTGATATAGTACGGCTGGGGAGGGGCGTGAGGATCTGTTTCAAATTGTATGGTGTGTCGCCATCTGAGCGCTGGCTATCTAGCCAGGGACGAACGTCATTTTGAATGGTCTGCGTTGGTGAGAAACTCGAGCGTACTGAGCTGCCATCAAAGAGACGTATTTGTAAGCGGAGTTGATTTGGTTTAAATTTCGCTTGCGGCTGTTTGTTTCCAGTTCTTGGCGTATTGTTTTCATTATTGGTTGACGACACGAACGATTCTTTTCGTGATTCCTCTCTCGCTTTCCGATCTTCAGCGTCACGCTTGATTTGGTTTAATATTCGATCCCGTTCCTCTTTCTTCTGTTGTTCTCGTTTCCGCTGTTCTAACAGCCAGCTCTGAGTTTGTGATGGAGGAGCCTTTTGGTCATTTTCTGGCTCTTCGATAGTCTCGGCTCGTCGTTTGCCGGCTCGTATGCTTTCCCTCCTTTGACGTTCGGAAGTTCCCTGCCACTGCTCCTCCGTAGATTCCGAGTCCTGGTCTGGGGTATGTGTTGAAAGAGGGCCGGAGGATACCGGAGTGATTACCCCAGGAGAACTATTACTCTCTATTTGTGATGGCTGCGGTGCTAGCTGGGGAGTTGGTGCACGGGAATCTTCGAGGCCCTTTTTCAATCGACGCTTGAAATCCTCCTCAGAGACGCCAGATACGATATATTCTCGAACCACGCCGTTTCTAAGAACATCAGTCAGCGCATGGTTCGCCGACTAACGAAGCATGGCTAACGGAACGAAATCTCACTTTATAACTACCAACGCGGGTATTTTGCTTATAGGGCAAAACGAAGCTAAGTAGCCTGCTTCTACTGAACCTGCTTGGAGCCGCAGAGAGACTGTTTTCGATTTCACTAATGTCGTTATCTGGTAGACGATTAATATATCTATCAGCGTAAATCCATACAACACTCATAAAAACATGGCTTCATAAAACATCCATACCTCCTCACTTGCTAAATACTCATTCTCCCATTTCAAGCTTTCGTTTGTGTCATCTACATTAGACACATTGCGACAAGGCCGCGATATTGATCAGCATATGGTTTACACTTTCGAACACGCTTCTTCACCAGCAGATAGATGGAGCAATGCATTCGATGTGGGGGTCATTTAAGGGACAAACCTCGGACAAAGCATATAACATGTTTGGCTTCGCTGACTGCAAGAGCTATGCCACCTTGTAAATCCCCTGCGTAAAACATGTTTTGAGTATCTTCGTGGTGGAGAATGCATGTATCCTCCGTAGTATTGAACACAACCTTGGAACACTGCCCTGGCATAAATATGATGTTAGACTGTGCACGGACCAACCCTCCATGCGGCGTTCCTCCTTCCGTTGGCACTCAAGATCTTTTTTTAAAAAACCTGCCGTTCCAGGCAAAGAACCATTCGTTATTTATTTATTTGTTCATTTGATTGATTTTCTCTTCGTTCATATTGTGTACTATTGTACTATATTCTGCATTTCCAATGAAGCCTTCGTTTTCCCCGCTACAGAAATTTGCTTCTGCATTCTCAGGTACCCCGTTACGAACCGCACCGCGGAGGCTGAACGTGGATTCGATATGCGCGCGCTGCTGGAGAAAGCAACAGGTCCGCTTTGCCCATCAACCAGCCGACGACCCGAGCTGGATGTCTGTCGTGGATAATCCCTCAAAGCTCGTAAAAACTGGGAAGAGGCATGGCCCAGGATTGATCATTCTAGGTAGGTTGATGCAAATATTGCTGCAGCGAGCTGGAAGAATTTCCTCTGTAAATATAAAAAGACGTCTCTCTGAAATCTTACATTAATGATTTCTCTATTAATAATTTCTCTATTATGCAGCTATCATACCCATTACCGCGTTTGCCCTCGGAACATGGCAAGTCCAGCGCTTGGACTGGAAAACCAAGCTCATCGCTAAATATGAAGACCGTCTCGTTAAATCGCCCCTACCACTTCCGCCTGTCGTCGATCCAAACGCTATCTCTGACTTTGACTATCGCCGTGTATATGCCACGGGTCGTCTCAGACATGACCAAGAAATGCTCATCGGGCCACGTTTGTATGAGGGCAAGGATGGATACCTAGTCATCACACCACTTGAGCGAGGTGATGTCGGGAGCACAGTGCTCGTTAATCGGGGATGGGTCGCAAAGGATCGCAAAGACCAAAGAGATAGGAAGGAGGGTTTACCTGAGGGAGAAGTTACGGTGGAAGGATTACTGCGCGCCCCGTGGAAAAAAAATATGTTCACACCGGAAAATAAACCGGAAGTGGGAAAGTTCTATTTTCCGGATGTAGCGCAGATGGCAGAGCTTACTGGTAGCCAACCAATCTGGATTGAAGAAACAATGCGTAAGAATTGCTTTGTTATGTCTGCACACGCCCCGATGAATGCATCACCCAAAGACTGACGACGGGATCTTTAGATCCTGAGCTCCTCACGATTTATCATAGAGAAGCAAAGGGCATTCCTATCGGGCGTGCACCTGAGGTAAATCTCAGGAATAATCACGCTCAGTATATCGTAACATGGTAGGCCATTTTTGCCATCTGCTCAACCTTGCGTGTCCTGATCTTGCATCTAAATTATTAATTGCGTGTCTAGGTACGGTCTGTCATTGGCCACTGCGATAATGTTCTGGATGGTTGTTAGAAAGAAGCCTAACGAGATCACACGACGTGTACGACATAATAAAGGCTGGTAGCCTCGTGATACACGAATCCCTCCGCTCTTTACATAGGCGAATTAGTCTTCTGAGTTTGAACGTAACAGCATAGTCGCTGTTCCGTGGAATGGAAAATTTCAGCGTTTTGGAAGCCGGATGTCATGCAGAAGCTCTTTCGGCAGATGTTTTTGGGCAAGCGCGAACATTGTAGTGTTTTTGCCAATATGCCGTTGTCTATCTCCCGCATTAGCATAGGTTAGGATTTAATTCCCAGTTGATGAGGGACCCAAGTCAGGAGAAGGGGGTAAATTTACCTTCTCATGAGTGTCGTGACATCCGTCTCATCGATGGTCTTTCTGCCCGCATGTTTCGCGTATGTCGAGAGGTCATCACTCGCCTGCTCAAAATACCATTCGGTAGCCTGCTCAATCGCAGCCAGGGTGTCCTTGCTGATTCTAGACTTTCCCCCACCTCCAGTCCGGGCAAACCGGGTGGCTAGTTTTTTTATGATACCGGAGGGCAGCTGTGGTACGGGAATGCCGTGTCGTGATAGCTTTTGTCGCTTGTTACCTTTCACCATCACTTGAGGTGCTGGCTCCGGACTGCTCGAAGGAGGCGCTGGTCTGGAAAAGTCGTCTTGGAATGCAAGCTCAATGCCACCTTCCTCGACAATGCTATCAGACGATGGAAAGCCTGTGTCCACATCAGGATTTATATCAAGTGCAAAATCCCCCATATTCTTGCTGGAGTTGATTTCCAGAAATTCTAGCAGTCGTTACGTCTGGTGTAGGGAAGGAAAAGTCCAGATTGAAACGTCGCAAATCTTCGGTCTCTCCTCTTTTGTAAAATTAGCCTTGAGTATATAGAAAAAAAATTGACAAACCCTTACCCTGCGTCGAAAACAAGTCCCGTATCTTGTCCATGGTCATCTTCATCATCTCCTTGAACTATCGTATACTCTGCTTCCTCCTCCTCTAGATCTTCCATTCTGCTGAGGTCACCAAAGTGGTCACTGAACCGGTTGCTCCCCATGCTAACTCTGGAAAGAGTTGTTCGATCTTGTATGCTCCGATCTCGTCTTGGCATTTCAATTGATCTCCAAGTTTGATCGACATCCTCCTCGATAGCCAGTGACAGTCTAGGAGGTTGAATATCTGGACTCCCGTCGCCTTGTACAATCATTTCCGTGAGAGGCAGTGAAAGCCTAGGCCTTGGAAGATCGGGTTCTTCATCAAGATCATCGATTGGCTGCGGCGGCGGTTTCTCTGGCTCTTCTTGTGGTGATGATGACACTGGTCTCGTGGTAGGAGCCAGTACTATGTTTCAAGAAAATATGACGATCAGCAAACATATATACATATATATATATATATCATCTAACCAAGAAATACAGTAGTCACTGTTTACGAACCTTTTCCCAAGTTCCTCAGGACATCCATGGGCGTTTCTCGCTGCATCCGTCCGCTTTTCCTCCGATCCCGCCCCGGAGTATGCGTAGCTGCACGTCTTTGAAGCGCGCGTAGAGCGTGGGGAGTCGCGGGAGCAGCATTGGCACCTGAATATGCACCACGGGGTGTCTGCCTGGCGGAAGCTCTGTTGGTGGAAAGTGGAGGAGGAACAGAGGTTTGCGCGGGGGTAGTAGGGTTTAGGGTACCAGCGAGTTGGTGAAGCTATGTGAAATATAAAATGAATACATCAAAGGATACTTAGTAAATATCTTTGTACATTTTTCCATCCCCGCAATCACCATTTCACTTACGGCATTGAGGGGGGCTCTCATGGTCTGAAGAATTTCTATTCTGTTTGCCTCGAGGGGTTGTGCTCTCGGTTTGTTTGGAGGGTGACGACATGATCGATCCCAGGTGTCCGTTTCCATGTGCATGTAAAAAGGTATATTTAAACTCTGAAATGTAGCGGGTTTATTCGCTGTGAGGATAACTTTACAAATGCTTGACTGCGACGCGTTCATTTCGATGTTTTTGTTCCCATCGGTGCAAGATGGTGGCTAAGAGATAAGATATGAGTTGATGACTAAGCCAAACATCAGAAGCCAAAATTTCCATCAAAAATTGAAGCTTCACTTAGCAAAGAAAATTGGGCTTTAGCTACATATCCTCTGAAGAAATACTATTGACTAAAGTCGCCATGGGTTTGCCTGCGCAATCGAAACCCTTAATTAAAGCCGGGAAGAAAAGACGTAGAGAAGACGAGGCAGACACTGGGTCAGCACAGCATGCTCCTCCCACAGCACCAGGGGCAGCAGCTGATGAGGGTGGTATCAAGAAGAGGAAACGCAAGAGAACGAAGCAAATTGTTGAAGACCCGAAAGATGCAGACAAGAAGGATGGAATAGATGAGTCTATTGGCAAGATGGACGGGCCTCTCCTAGCGGATTTCTTCGCACAACAAGCCAAACGGCACAACAGCCAATTGACCGCCATCGAATTAGACGATGTCTATGTACCAGGTAAGATAGGTACATTTTACATGTTTAAGCTTTGGGAATTATGTTTGGTCATCAACGAGCAAGCATAATCTGTTTATTTCCGAACCTCGCACTGACCTTGGAACAGAACAGGCATTTCTCGATACGACTTCATGGAAGTCACCAAGAGTGTTAGAAAATCTGCCCGCATTTTTGAAGGTTTATAGCAGGAAGAAAGGGAGCCCCGACTCCCTTTCAACTGCACCTAAAGAAAATGGCAGTCCGCATACAATAGTGATCACGCTCGCAGGCCTCAGGGCGGCAGATATTACGAGGTTAGCATTTCCGTTTATAAAGCTATTTGTTCACTGTAACGTAGTCATTGGCAATGCATTAGTAACGGATCCTTTCTAGAGCACTTCGGCAATTCCAAAACCAAGACTGTGCAGTGGCGAAATTATTCGCGAAACATATCAAGCTGGCTGAAGCCAAGGAGTTTGTGAAAAAAACAAGGTAGGTTTCACTGGGAAAATGTCAAGTAATGAATAGGTGCTAATTGCCTGAAGAGTTGGTATTGGCATCGGGACCCCTGTGCGATTGAACGATTTGGCTACCTCTGGTGAGTCTTTCTATTGACAGCTTATTTTGGGGGGATTCAAAAAGGATCTGACCCGTTCTATATCAGGCGAGCTAAGACTTAAACAACTCCAACGGATTGTCATCGACGGCTCATACGTCGACCAGAAGAAACGGGGCATATTCGACATGAAAGATTTACATCTACCTCTTCTTCAATTTCTCAATCGCGCAGATCTACGCCACCGGTACACTTCTTGCGAGAACCATGTCGAAATCCTGATTTTCTGAAGCGATATGGTTTCGTATCTTGCCTACCGTCAGGCCACGGTAGGGTTGCAGCCTGGATTTCAATTTTGCAATCTCGAGATTTTAGTGCACAATTATCCTGTATATGGTGTCTTCACCTTTTGGAATCATCCAATATCCTTCCCAGGCTCCCACGGCAACTGGGTACCCGTCCTCACTTGTTGTGGGAACTCCAGAGCCGATTCGATGGGGTACCAAAAATTAAACCGGCCGTCTGGTGGGCAGGGCTTTTATTGACGGCCACCATGGTGTGGAATGGAAGAAATAACATAGAAAGCTGAAGCTGAAGAGAGCAGTTGCATTATCCAAGTACTGGAAGAAAATCAAACGACCCCGGGGTGGCCTCATGATATCCGTGTTCATTAGAATCCTTCGCTATTATCGTATGAGCTGTTGACGGTGTAAAGAGTAAGGGCTGGATTACGGACGTATGGCTGGTTCGCTGGGGCGTATGTGTGCTATTGCTATAGAGAACGTAGTCGCCATACCATAGTCAATTCAAAATTTTCCTACGTGGACCTTTCATAGCGAGTCTGACGGTGATTAAAATGCTACCAATGCCAGTACTGGCATTTAGAGTTATGTAATTTCCCCCATACAAACTCCAGGAAAACAGGGAAAATAGAGAGGATTGAGACTCACATGGTGGAATGGCCCTCAAAGCTCAGAGAATTCTAGAGTTTTAGTTCGGGCACTGTTGCGGAAACCCCCATTGACAACAATTTGCCAGAGCTGGATAGCTTGAGCACAGTTAGGGCTTCGATCACACGTGATAAGTGCGAAAGAACCTTGGAACCTTGGAAGCTTATTTATTCTTACCGCCTAACTGGGCTGGCAGAAATATTTCCGCCAAAAAAAAAAAAAAAAGACTTAAATTTTGCCAAAAAAAGTATCAACTACATTGTGGGGAAGACCGGAACACGGAAAGAGGAATCACTTGGTAAGTCTGCACCTTCACATCATATGCACCTTGACACTCGCGGAAAATTAGTTGTTTAATTTTCATTTTGCCATTCGCTAATTACATTTCTTGTTTTGTTTTCTCGAAGCCGAGTATAGTTCGTAGAATACTATCACCTGAAAAAATGGGCGATAAACGGAAACGGAGCCAGCTCCCAGCTGAAGATGACGCGGTTGAAGTTACGGAGGTGAGGCAGAAGAAATCCAAAAATAGCGATAAGGAGAGGAAAATAGATAAATCGAAGGAGAGGAAAGAAAAGAGGGAAAGGAGGAAAAAGAAGGAAAAGGAGAAGAAGGAGAAGGAAAAGGATCAGGACAACGAGGTTCGGGATGATGTAGAAGTTAACGGAAATTACCCGGATGTTGAGATGAAATTGGCAAACGGTGCTGCGGAAGACGATGTGGAGAAAAAGGTGAAGGAGAACAAAGCAAAGGATGGCGGCGAAGCAGCAGAAGAGGAAAGAGATAAGAAGAGAAAGGAGAAGAAGAAGAATAAAAAAGGCATAAAGGACAAGCAAAAAGTGGAGGGGGGCCGCGAGGAGAAAGAGGAGCATGAAAATTCGGCAGAACAATTAGGGAGCCAACAGGAGCAAAAGGAGCAAAAGAAGGAAAGGAAGCGGAATAAAGATAAAAATAAGAAAGATAAAACGGGAACAGCACTTATCAACAGGCATGGGGAAATTACCGAAGAAACGCCTGTGGTTGAAACCGATGTTGCTGCGGAGAATGGCGTTGATGAAAATATCGACGGTGCCAACGGACATGACGGAGAAAAGAAAAACCTGAGATTGATCGCATTCATCGGTAAATACTCCCCCTGATTTGACACATACGTTCCTACTGGCATTCCAATTCTGCCTTTACGCACTGTATGATAATAACACCACGATGCAGGTAATTTGCCTTTCCATACAAGCCTAGAAGCCGTGCAAAAACACTTCGCAAAAATCGAACCCAACGATATTCGGCTCCCTAGCGAAAAGGGTGGGAAGAAGGGCCGTGGCTTTGCGTTCATCGAATTCGACCGTTATGATCGCATGAAGACGTGTTTAAAGCTGTACCACCACTCTTTATTCGACGATGGCGAGAACCCTTCCAGGAAAATCAACGTTGAGTTAACGTGAGAGCTTTTTTCCATTTCTCTCTTTCCATTTCTCTCCTAGTAGTTGCATCTCTGGTTACTTGTTCCTTTATCGTTTTTCCCTTCTCCCCCCTCCCCGCTTTTAATCCGCGCGCCACCATACTTGCTCAAACTTACACATCTCTATTAGTGCTGGTGGAGGTGGCTCGAAATCCAAAACTCGTAAAGCGCGAATCGTTGAGAAGAATACGAAGCTCTCCGAGCAACGTTCTCGCGCTGCGAAGGAAGCTCGGAAACAGAAAAAGAACTCCAATATTACTCAGCCGGGTGGCGATTCAGAAGCTGTGCCAGTTAAAAACGATATGGACGATGTGCATCCTAGTCGGAGGAAATGGGTTCCTGGTTCTTGAGAACGATACCTTTCGATTTCTAATTGCCTTGGGTAAGTAAACAGGAATATTAACCAAAACGAAGAGACGGGGAATGGAGTGGGAGTAATGGCGTGTTGTCCGATTTCCTTGTTTTCTCATCACTTGTGCTTTTCATATTGTTTTGATATTGAATTTTTATTCTGCTTTAATTTTCCACCCTCCCGTTTTTAGTTTTTTACTTAACTTTGGCATTCTATCACTTAGCTATTAAGATTTGGATAATTAACATCAAACCTCTTTGCAGAACAGTCACACCCGCTACTGCCTTTCCCACTTCATCTCGAGTCCTTCATGGCTCATCACACTATGACCAGATCGTTTGACATTCTGGAACAAGCAACCCCATCTAATATCACATCTAACCACGAAGCCTTGGTTGGCCGACACTCGGCCCCGAGACCTAGGCAAGTTTGTATTTACCAAACGGTAAGGACATTTATACAATAGTGAAAACCCAACTAGATGGGCATGGACATCATTAGATCCAGCGTGGCAGATGGTGCCTTTATGGATAGACGTCTTTTTAACGGCCCCAATATCACATCCGAAGATCCTGGAATGGAAAACAACGAAAATTCTCGCTGGCTCTCCCTAGTTCTAGGCCTCTGCTCTCGCCGGCGAGAAATACATCTGAAGCAAACTCGCTGTGATTACTCCGTAAAGAAGCTATCTAATACTCCTTCGGAACCATGCGTCCGGGGTACACACTATCCTTCCCGAAGCGTGCCGCCATCTGTCAGGGCTCCATTCTTTTCATTGCGATATTCCACCAAATGTACCCACTACATTCCATCTCAGCTATCGACACCTCCAACGGCACCTCTTTCGGACATCCCATTTTCTCTTGAGGCTTTCGAGAACTACAATTGCCACGACGCAAAACTCCGGACAAAAAATGGCATATACGTCTAGTGGTTTAGGGGATGTGAGGGGGCGATGACAGGTGAGACGGTGTGTCCGTTGTCTTGTTTGAGTAAAGTGGGTGCGTGGGTGTGTGGATGGGGGTGGGACGGGATGGGATGGGATGATCGCATGAATATAGCGTGAAGGCATATGGATAGCTACAACAAAGGATTTCAATCTGTAATTTTTTCCCAATTTTCACTCCTTTTAAGCGACGGTGTCGGTGTCGGAATCGTGGGGAATAAATAAGAGTAGAGAGAAAGGGAGAGAGAAAGAGTGAGTGAGAGTGAGAGAGGTTCGTACTCCGTCCATTATGTCTAGGATTAAGAGAGAAACAATATCAAGATAAAAGTTGCAAGAAAGAGATAAGATAGATGAAAAAAGAAGAGACGAAGACAAACAGAAAGGAAATTTTCTGCCCTGGTCATCTTCTCTCCTATGCATTAATATCAAAAGCATCGGAAATCGCTTTACCAAGTGTTAAAGAGAAAATAAGAGCACAATCAGGCAATTGATCTTGACCAAGAGTTCTATAGCGTTGAAGTTTAATATTAAGTTGAAAAAAGACAGAAGCTGCGGGGATGGTAGGGAGAATGGGAAAAAGGGTGGGTGGGAAAAAGGAGAAGAAATTGAGGAGGGGGAAAGAAAAAGAAAAAAAATCAAAGTATGCGGTCAAAAATAGAAATACGACGGAAATGAAATTTGAGAAAAAAACACCCACCGGATCCACCGGTAACTGTAAACATGGACAAAAAACGGGGGCGGGGAGGTAAAGCAATATCAAACAGCAATGGGCGAGTGGTAGGCAAAAATAACCATAGAGCGAGAAAAATAAAAAAAAGTGGTAAATAAACAATGAAAGCAGGAAAATCTGAGGGTGGCGGGCATTTCGTTAGGTCGTATTGATTCGATTCTTAACAACTAGGGACGAATCAAATGGAGGGGATAGAGGGATACTGGAAAGGAGTGCGGGAAAGTAGTTTGTTTCCAAATGTAGATAGGTAAGAGAATAAGGAAGGGTTTTAAAAGTAATTGGGATTTGAAGGAAAGCAAAAAGCACATGATGGCACGCGAGTTCGCATAGATCTCATAATATTTCGGGAAAGTTGCCCACACAGGATATCTTGACGCCAAATAAATTAATTACCGGCAACGGACGGAGCGAACGCAGGGGAAAATCCAGGGTTCAAATGATCGAAAATACGAAGCTGGAAATAACAGTCAGAAAATGGCAGGAGATCCAATTGGTACCTGGGAAATGAGGGTTTGTCGTCCATATTGAATCGGGTCATTAACGCTCTACTGAAAATATTTGAGCGGTCGTGGTTTGCCCCAATTCGTACAAAGGAGGGTAAACATATTCATTATCGAGTCGAGTTCAAACTGTTCAGAAAAAAAAAAATTGCAAATGTTCGCTGAGTTGCTGGGTACTTTGCTTTCAGCTGAGAAGCAAATAAAATGTATGAAGGACAGTAATGTGCTCAGGGAGATATCATAGTGATATTTCTATCGTTCTTTTCAAGTCGGGCAGTCCAATGGATTTTGCCATGCTTCGCTGGACGAGAGCTTCAGAGGATTCTGCACTTGGATTTTTTAGGTTTCGCGATGGGACGCGGATTCAGCACCGCACTGGAAAGAGTTAGTCTCCTACGATATTTGTTGAATGGTACAAGGAGCAGATACAAGTAACATACCGGATGGCTTCATCAAAGACACTCTTCAGATTTCGCTGCGTGAGGGCGGAGCATTCGAGGTATTTCTGTGCTTTAATCTCCTTGGCAACAGCGAGGGCTTGTTCATAAGAAACTGGTTCCATCTTCTTTGCACGAAGACTCTCAGCGGTAGCCTTATCCTCACGTAGATCAAGTTTGGTCCCAACAAGGATTATTGGGACATTGGGCGCGTGATGTTCGATTTCTGGGTGCCACTACGCAAAAAGTTAATAAGAATTCGTGTAGAGAGAGAGAGACCGTGGAAGTCTCAAAGTCTTGAGGGTATGATAACACACCTTCGCCTTGACGTTATCGAAAGATGGTGGGCTAACGATAGAGAAGCATATGAGAAAAACGTCGGTCTGTGGATACGATAAAGGACGTAGTCTGTCATAGTCTTCCTGTCCAGCAGTATCCCAAAGTCCAAGGCTAATGGGTTTGCCATCAACCATTACACTGGCGGAGTAGTTGTCGAACCTACGTCCAGTCAGATATACCGAAAAACGATCGAGAAGGTAGAATATAAACATACACAGTAGGAATATACTCTCCGGGGAAAGCATTTGTGGTGTAAGAAATAAGGAGACATGTCTTAAGATTTTTAAGTTAGTCAGGATATCAACACGAAGCGCCACGGAGCTTAAGGGGGAAAGTGCTTACCTTGCCAACAGCACCGTCACCAGTAACGACACACTGCAAGTGGGATAAAACCGTCAGCAGATTGATCAGGAGATAAAATTATACAAATCAAAAAGGGGGTATTTGAGCCAGCAGCACTTTTAACCAACCTTCAATGACTGAGTGGCTGGTCCAGAGGCCATTTTTGTTAAGCTTTCAGGGGAAAAAGCCAATAGAAAAAAGTTAAAAAAAGTAACGAAATGATTCAGCAGCTGAAAATGAGTCCGTGTAGAAAAGCAGAAGATTACGTCAAAGAGGGCCAGCTGGTGATCAAAGTCCGGCAGCAGCGATGTCAAGGCCTGAACAAGAAACGAATAAAGCACCAGCTCAATTCGAACAGGATTCAATCCAGAGGTGGTTGGTTTCTGCTCCAAAGAAACACACAAGGGGGTTCTATGATGACACTTTCTTTCTTCGACAAGGTATAATATACCTCTTCGGTACTATCTTGAATATCTGGCAACCTTTTATATCAAGGAGAGTTAAAAATTTTTCTTTGATCACGCACGAGGATGGAATCGGGGGTGATCGTTCGTTCGGGAGGCGGCAGCCGGAGTAGTAAATAATGGAGGGAGAGATCACACAACAAAACCAATTGGAGAGGAACCAGAATTCAGAGACCGGGAGAGATCGCAAGTCCTTTAGTAACGGGGACGGGAGGAGGGAATGTGTTGAGGCGACGATAAGATACCCCGGCTGGCGAAGGTGTTGGTGATGGTCAGATTCCACGACAAGCAGAAGAGAGGGAGACAAAAGACACAGCACCGCTCAAGCAGGGAACGATAGAGCAGATAAGAAGACGACAGACAACCGCAGAGGGGAGCCAGAGAGTGAGACAGTGAAAAGGTGAGCTGGAGAGGAGGAGAGGTTGAGATGAGGTACCAGGAGGTGGTTGCGAGGAGTCGGAGACCAGACACGGACGGTTGAGGAGAGGCTTGGCATGGGTCTCAGACGGGTCGCATCAACCTGCAGCGAAGTGACCATGGTTGGTGCCTCCTAAGGGCAGATCTCGCAGCATGGCTCTCCATACTACATAGGAGGAGCAGAGGCGGCATTGGTTGTTGTATGGGATACTAGCACTCTTGATCTAACTCTATCTATTGTCTTTTATTTGTTTTCAAGCCTTCAGGGTGAACGGTGACCTACTGGCAGACCGATAAGCGCTGTGGTATCTGGTAGTGACTAGTATCCTTCTATCTATGCGCCCCGACATGTGCTTGGTTGGCCTGGAACCACCCAGTATAAATCCTATTTTTCTAACCCTCCAAGCATCCAATCTCCACTCGTACTAGTACAGTATGTGCGACTCGAAATCCTCGATGTTCCGTCGCAGCTAGTCTGTGCCGCCATCTCCATGTGGCCATCCCAGGCTCGTCCCCGCAGACTGGCTGCAGTAAACAAGGGTCTCCAGTCTCCAGATCACCAGACACGGAGATATATCTTTATGTTTAAATGGCTGGCTCCATTATTAAACCTGTTGACGGAGATATCCAATAGCCACACCCAACACTACTCACTGGATTTAGGAAAATATGATTGCATGCATTGGGAGAAAGGACCAAGGCACTTTTTAACTCTATCAACGGTTGGGAGGGGCTTTTTACCCAATCAAATTTCTCTTCTCAGACATATTATATGGCACTGGTACCCGGGATATCTTGCTGTTGTGTTGCTGTTGCGAGGATCTTGCGGCTGCCCGATCCCTGCCGTACGACTGATGGGTATTTAATATAGCTGCTGCTGAAGATATCGAGCGTGGAAAGTGTACTCATGCACAGCGCAATACTTTTATCTGTATTGTATAAGTGTGCAGCCAGTCTTATCAGCTCCCTACATTTTTAAATATAGAAACTTTTCAGGTTAAAAATATCCGCATATCCTGATGCAAAGTGGGGGATAATAGATCTAGAAGCCCGATCTCAAATTTGGCGAAGTAAACTTTCAACCAGGGGAGTTAAATAAAGATTTTACAGTTCGTGTGAAGAGTTTCAAAAAAATTCTAATATGAAGCAAGGTTGTCCAGATTGTGATGGCGGGTGCGTCTCCAACAGTTTCACCCCTTCCCCACCAGCATACCTTCGAGACAGAGGTAGTGATAGCCTATAAATGTATAACAACGGTAACGTGCTCAATTCATAACTCCAGTATTACTGTGGGAATCATATAATCATATCGTGGTGGTCCCTCTCACCGTACCCGGCGACGAGCTGTTGCACGCAGCAGGCTGATGTTATGGAAAT